TGCTTTCCAAAACTGGATTGAACTTTTGAAGCGTATCAGCAAGTTTGATCTAGACCTCTCCTTTCAGAGGACGGTAAGTGCTCATTGGTTGTGAAGCTCCAAACTCCTACTTCTCAACCTTCACCAATTATGAGCGATAGCCGTTGATAAAATTGTAAAGATTGTCTTACCTGTGAATGTTTCAAAACAGGTACTGTGAACAACCGTTTCGAGTGTCCTTAGATGCCTTAACGTCTCGAGGCAGTTGGGCACTCATCACCTTCCAGATATTAAATCAACTGGCTCAGTCGAGAAGCGCCCAAACCTGTCATCAACGGTACCAGTATATTATCGACCTCTGCTTTTCCTTTCTGTGAGACTTTTTACAAGAAGATGAGCTAAAGAACTAGAGTATGGCAGTTATGGTTGCAGTTTCAATGACTGGGTTCGTAAACAGAGAAGAATATTACCGCAAATCTAGAACAAGTAAGTCAATGCTACCATTTTCATTTTGTATTTAATGCTGAGCCGTTGCCTGCGGGGCGCTAGATTTGGTTCGAAAGAGCTCTTTAAGGTGAGAAGTTTTCCTTCAGTTGTAAAGATTACGGTGATAGTGCGCTTATCTTTTCACTAGATCACTAAAGAAACTCTCACAACTCTCCGTCTCTTTCAAGATGCTTCGTAGTCGCTCAGTACTTCTGGAAGACAAAATTTCGCTTTAGCGCTGGCTTTAGAACTGAAGTCTTCCAGCAGGGACGGGGAGTAGCCCAATGAAGTTTCAGAAAGTCATAGACGAGTCTGACTAGGGCTTTATTTCTCTCGGCTTATGTACCGGATAGCCAGCACGGGTGTGGCATCTCAATCGACAGGTTACATACATCTGGAACCATGAGATGCAATGTGCAAGTAGAACCAATCATATTGTTGTCAGTGACCTGGATTTCGAGGCTCCTAGTGATCTATAGCACTTCACAGAAAGGCGAAGCACTGCTGAGAATCTTGTCAAGAATGTGCTAAATCCACGACATCCAGCTGACTACCACAAGCTAGGAACTCATCGAACGGTATAGCTCGTCCATTTCTCATGTCCTACGTAGAGTACTAAAATCAAGCCTCCAAGACCTGAGCAGCGTAAAAGTCGTTCAGTGTACGTGCTGGCGAGGAGGCGATGCCACAGATCATCTCAAAAGATCTGCTGTGCTCGTTGTTGTATGTAGTTCATACATGTCTAGATCCGCGGCCCAGATCACCCTAACTGGGACCTTCCCCACATCCGTCGAGGACTGTACTGTCGGTCGGGTAGAGTAGGTGTGTATTATGGCCTGATACATACTTGCCGATAGAATTATGCGGTTGTCGACGCTGCGTAGGCTCTATATGGGACCTGTTAAGCTACAGAAAGTGGCTTCGGCACCGATTGGGCTCCAGTCAGGACAGGCCGTGAATAAAGTTTGTCATGATTCAATCGCGGTCGACTCATGTCATGCCACAGGTTTGTTGGAGCCGTAAGCAGTGTGCTTCGATTCCAAAGTGACTTCAGCTCATGACACCTCGGTTGTTAGAGGTGGATTGCCGAGTTCAGAGAACGCCACATCTTCAGCCGGCCCTCAGTCCAGTCGCTTCAGAGCAAATCACAGCATCCCACGTTCGCAAGAGATCAACGTAAAGCATGGCACATCATTCACTTCGCTTTTCAAGTGTCGCATCTGCCTACTCGAGCCCCAGCCAATTTAATGAAGTCTTGCAGCCAACCGTAGCAAACCACTTACGGACAAGCCGTCCACAGGTGCCGTCTACTTTGAATTTTCTATGAATCTATTAAAGCTGAGAGTTGCTCGGACTGCTTTATGCTGGAGTGCAACCCAATCTCTTGTGAGCCGGGCCTGTGAATGACTTCTCAGCATGACACATCATCCACTACGAAGCATTTCATAATGCTGAGGTATATTTGTGCATCATGAGATAAACTGATCCATATGTGCCAGTATCTGCGGCCATCCAACAACTATCACGTGAATCTTTCAAAGAAAATTTAACTGCTCGCGGAATCTACCGTACCCGAGCACTTCAATTCCCGACGCAACCCAGTACCGTATCGATGCTTTTCAATGATCTTTGCGCTTTCCTGTGATATCTGCAGCAATTTGCCAGTGTTGAATCTGAAGAGCGTGTCGTGCTTCCCCGCCTTGGGTTTGGTAGAAACCAAAAGGACGCAACACGTGGCTTAAAGCGTCATCTTGGTCATGTCATGTCGTGTCATGTAGGGTAGATACTCAGTACTCTACACTAGTCTAAGAAAGAAATTGTTCAATTTGCAGTCGGACTCCGTACGCTTACACTGAATATCTTGTATTGCGCGTTCAGTATTCTTTGCTTTGCTTTCATCTTCCTTGCTGCCCTCCTGCTCAGTTCTTTTATTTGGGAAACTCCACAACATTGGGCAGTGTAAGTATATTGTAGAAAATGCAGCTTAGTTATGACACAATCCCAGAAGAAAGTCCCATGAATGATTTAGAATATTTCAACAACTCCAATGTAAGCTCCCTCGGTTGCTCACGGTATACAGGTCAGGTACAACGATTTCTCACGTAGTGTGTAGACAATACGAGGACAAACTTCTACCTGGATATACATGTTGAAATTTGCAATTGTTCCATCGTCCCATTTCTCCTTACAATGTTGTTAAGTCTTTTTTCTCGAAGTCTCAAGATATTTCCATAGGAGCAGGCCTGTGGGAGTCTTTCAGTCTAAAGTGAATTCTTCTCTAGGAAACCTCTGCAACTGCAGAACAGGTTTGTTCGTTAATGTAACACACTTAGTGTGCACTTTGCTGAAGCCTGCGATACTAAAAGATTTCACTGTTTCCTTTCTTTTGTCAGCCATGAGGATCTTGTTCACTAGTTCGAAGTTTGCCTGGAACGGAAGATCTTTGTTTTATTGACCGCGACGTAATTCTCGAATGCTCCAAAGGGTATGTTGAACAGACACGCCCACATATATAGGTACTTTCTTCAGAAACAATTTTGTAGACCCTTGGCTAGGACTAGGATTGATTTCAGCACAATACTGTCTGTAGAAGATGTAGGCATGTAGACTTTGAACGAGGTCTTTCTTGGAAAAATGAGGAAGTCCATAGATTGACTCAGAAGACAGTGTCAAGCCAATTTGGAAGTTTCTGGCTGCATGTGTTTGAGGACATGCGTCAAGACGACGATAGGCATAATATCTTGCAACGGTGGGAAAAAAGAAAAGAAATATCAGATAGCTAAGAGAAGGTCAAGAGTTGTAATGCTTTCTTGGAAATGTTTCATAGGTACCTCATGAGGTATTATCCAACCATTACAGTATTGATTATTCGCATCGCTTCTTTTCCTGGAGGTATTTGATGCATCAACCACTTCTTGTGAACAAAATCTAGCGTTTTCTCTTGCAAGACTCCATCTACATATTGTATATGTTATCGTGAAGCTCAACTTCTGTGTAGCGGTGTCTACGGCAAGCTCGCTGACAAAGCAATTGAGGATGTTGTAAACAGTGTGAATGACCGACGCTACAAGAACCTGATCAGGTACGTCACCTTGTTACTCGTGGCTTTGTTCGCTTGTGCGTTAGAACCCTTGTGCCTCGTCGTAGGATCTTAGTTTATCTTAAACTACACTTTTAAGAGTGGACGAGAGACGAGAATCTAAATGAAGGTCCTCGGTTCCTGGATTAAAGTTCACCGCACTCTCCTGTCCCAAGGCATCTGCCATTTTATCAGTTTTTCTAGTAGAGTCCGCTAGGATCTGTTTTGATTCTCGAAGACCTGATTAGCTCAACACTGCTGCAAAGTTCTCGACAGGTATTTACTTTACCAGAGCCTGGGCTACCTACCATGAATATGGTATTTGGTGCATGTTCTGCATCCTGTGACCATCTCAACTCCGTCATCAAAGTTAGGATGTAGTCTATTCTATGAGCTCGTGTTTTCGTCGTGTAGTACGCGGACCTTACACAAGCAGATTCCTAATATTGTCCTACCACACAAGAAAACGCTTTGTAGTGCGGACGAATTAGCCTCCGGAGAATCAAGTATAGCTCTAACAATGCTAATTTCTAGGAATAACGGAAAGAAAGGGCTTATACAAGACCTGGGAACAGTCCTTAAGAACATAAAACAATTGATATGAGAGCAGTAATGTCTCTGAAGTTAGCTTGGCAGACACCAGAGTCTCTTGGTGTGACCGAGTATAGACTGAAATTTTTGAGGTCAATCCTAAACTATATAAAAATATAAAAGTAAATCAGAAGATCTGAACAGACTGCAGAATCACACATGTAGCTGTTATGAAAGGTGGAGACTGCCTGAACTCTAGTATTGGAGCAGAGGTAGCACTAGACAACACACACAGTTCATGTTTGGGTGTGTTGGCTAATGATTCTTCAGATTTCCAACAATTGGGAACAAAGTCCGTGGCTTCGTCATGCCAGGGAATCTCGTCTATTCACTTCAAGAAATCAAACCAGATCAGAATAGAGAATAAACTATGCCAATCTCCCGGCAGGCTAACTGTTGGATGAACTGTAGTCACAACGAAGAGCAACACTCACCTCTGCTTACAAATTCAACCAGATTACCAGTCTCCTTGACTACAGTCACTTGCAGTTCGTACAGGTCTGTCACACTGTGTGTTCGATCCAAGTTTATTCACAGGCCTCCTGAAGTAAATTGAACTTGCTCACAGGTAGTACCTACGCCAATCGTGGGCACTTATTTGGACCTTTACACGTGCCTGTATCAGTGGCCACAATCCTACTCACCTGTCAGCCGCTCACTTCATACAGAAACTGACTGTTGTTGAGTCCACCGACATCTTTTCACAGCGCCGATGCTGGCGATGTGAACGTACGACCCAAAACTTGATTCTGATACTCAACTACTCTAGCTACCCGAGACTTACCGGACGACCAATCTGTGAACCGGGAACAGTATATCCATAGCCCATAGTTTTACTGCTCCCTTTTCTCCATTCTTATGGTTGCTGTTTTGTGATGTCAAAGGTATAGCTAGACTTGATTGAGGCACACAAGAGAGTCACTCGACTAAAAATTTCCGAACGCGATCCGCAGCGGCCTTAACAAAGAGGGAAAAACAGATCTAATTTCAAGAGCACCTGTTCAGAGGAAAAAACCTGTTTGTTTATTACTGCATCCGTCATTCTAACAACATTGCCTACCCTTCAGGAGGGATTATTTTAGCTCGGACAGTTGAGCTTATCAAAATCCAATCTTCCTGAACATATCGTGGTGTCCTAAAATGAGTGTTTCTTTATTACAAGCTTCCTTCACGCGAGCTTTCTCTATGGCCTAACTACGACCTACAGATACTAGGTAGAAACTATCGACGGCGTAGCAAATACACGGCCTGTGGCTCCGCAGACATTCTCTTCATAGTATTAAACGTTCGGACAAATTTCAACAAATTCAAGGTACTCGATCAAATGGTTTAGTATCCTTGTAACAAGTATTCCATGCCGCATCGACGGCGTCCTTTGCGGCTGTCTCAGAACAATGTGGATTCATTGCCACAGACAGTTGCGCCCTTCTCCTCACGCAAACCTGAGGAAGCCACAATTTGCAGTTAATACTGATCAGCAAGTTCATAAACAGAACACATAGGACTTCAGTAGCTGGCAAAATTGGAGGTTCAGATTCAGCGTTTCACTTCATCCCAAGCCAGACACAACTTGCTCAGCTGGTGAGTATCCGCGAGCTTTGAACAGAGTGGCCTCAATCCTCCTGGTTACTGGGTATTGACCATCATCAACAACCCTGGTCCTCTGCAAGCGGTTGAGAACGTAACTCATGCAGAGTCGAAACTTGATATCTTAAGATCATTGCCAACTTGCAACCTCAGAATTCAAGACCCGCATTTTAGAATCCATGACTTAGGCAAGATTAGGCTCATTTAGAGCCATATCCGCTCAAACACTTTTGGGATTCTCCTACAAATCTGTTACGATCCACATGTTCCTCTCCTGTACTTCCAGAGAGTCATTGCACACACCTACGCGGCATTATCAGCACAGGAGCGACCCAGCTTCTATACGTACCGATGAGCCTCAACCTTACTACTTTACAACGGTTTTGAAGTGGCAATGCTGTTGCAATGAAAGTTGCAGATTTGGACACCTTGAACGCTGCAGTTCGCCGGCAACGTCGTGTACAGATCGAATAGGCGTAAAGCTAAAGTGCTTCTAAACCACGACAGGCTTGGGCCGAGAACAGAGCGGACTGTGGCCCGTTTGACATTTGACTAGAATGACCGATTCCAATCAAGGAGGAAATGTCATCGACCTGGTGTTGCTGACGGATGTTTGTATGCCCTCGCAGAAGCTCTAACATCCACTTGCAGTCGCCACTCAGGTTGGCAGCACGAATCTGTTAGCAAGACCGATGGAGATGCATCTCAGTAACAAGCAAACGAAGTGAAATATTTTGCCAGGAAATTGTCCTCTTTGGCAAAACCTAATACGTTCTCTGAGGCCGACCAACCTCGCTGCATGCGTGGTGTTGACAATTGGTCCAGTCCAAATTCGCAGCTCGACAATGATCATAGGCATGTACAAGCTCGTGCGTCAGGATCAAGTCCACCTCGCCCTGTGTGGCTGTCAGCAGGTGATTGCTGCAAACTGAGATCTGAGAACAAATAAACGGCGACAATTAGTGTGATATTCTGTGCATTCAGTTCACATAGTTTGAATTCCTTAGGAAATGACAAAACTAAAAAGCAATCGGCGTTTCACACAATCCTGAACTCCTAAACAAATGATGAGGAACAATTCAGACCTTCTATAGGCATCAGCAGCCAGCCTTGGTCAGCTCAATTTGTTGTAAGGGCTGTAGAACGAACCCCGATTTGAGGGACGAATCCTCCACCTGCTTCCATCGTGCAATTTTCCGACTTGAAGAACTTTTCAGTCACTGGACAACCAGCCTTTGCCAGAGCTTCTATCATGAACTTCACCGTCGGATCTGAAAGCCAAATCAATTTGCTGATAAATTTTGCAATACACAGTGAAGAATCCAGATAATTGCCATCGATTTCGTTTCAGTCAGAGGAAGAAGTCAGGCGTGAAGCACACGTACTTTTCTGGATAGAATGCTCAATCAATCGCTGACAAGCAGCTTGGTTTTTTTGCGATTCCACAGTTGATTCCTCCATGGTCGATCGAATCCTTCGCAATTGAGCAGAATTGCTAAATTCTTGATAACCAATTCAATCGAATTCCCTCGATTTCGCTGGCCCAGAACTCATCAATTCATCACTCTCCCTCCCTACCAGTGTACCCTAACCCTAATGTACAAACTGTACATACCCCCTGTGTTCTTTTTCATTCCTTCATCCTTCCTGGCAGTGAACACCCTCAAAGTACCCCTGATTCCCTGCAATAGCCACCTCCCTAATTTGGCCCCGTGTTTGTTCTCTTGGCTGGTTGAAGAGGTACATCAACTAGTTTACCATCAATACAAACTCATGAAACATGTCTTTGGTACCTTTGTGAGGTCTACAGACATGGATTGGGATATCTCAGATAACATCTTCAAATGTTTATCTTGAACATTTTCCTCGATCTTGATGCTTATTTTGAACTATTTGAAAAAAGTTTTGCGCATAAAATACTTGAAATTATCGCGTTCAAAATATACTTGGTGAGATGTAGACTAAGTTTCTGTATTGTCATCATTCTCAACAAGAACAAGTACGAACGTGTAAAAAAAAAACCGGTAAGTGAGTCAATCAGCTGTCAAGTCTTGACTTTGTTGAAGAACTTATAGGTCATGTTTTAAAACTGAGAAGATGTGTTCTAAGACTTCTCACGAGACAAAATAACATGTTCTATATAACACGAAGATCGAATCTGATTTGGTTGCTAGTGTCTTGAACTGTGCATGGTTTTTGAATCCGATGTTCAAAATCTGGTGTTAATAGAGTTTTAAGCCTTGAAATGTGCGTCCTGCTTCTTCACTTCTGGTATGTTCTTAAACTTCTATATAACAATGTTCAACGATGAACATGTGAAACTTTCCTCCGGAGTTTCAAGGCTACTTCAACATAAAAGAAGAAAAAAGAGATTTTTTCACTGATTGAACTATTATTTACGTCAATCAAAATTATACTTTGGACTGAAGATCACCCAATATCATGCAGATAGGGATTTTATTTCAAACCTTTTATAGTATTATTATATTTTTATCCTAATGATACAAAATAAATTGGTTTTATTTGAGTAATATTTTTTATCATTTTAAATCTACTGAATAACACAAAAATTATTAATTTTTTAAAATCAGATATTTATAATATTGAAAAACCCAAAATTATCATTATTTCCTAGGCACATTTCATAGTAGCATGAAATCAAGGGGGTTAAAGATTTACATAAAATTTATTTAGTGTATATATGTATGCACACATAAAATAAAATTCATTTAAAAATACTTAAATTATTTTTAATTTAAAGGAATTATAAATTATTTTTAAGAAATATCTACATGAGTTTTATAGTTATACTTTGATAGATAAATTTTGATTAGAATGACGTAAAATCTTAAACATGCATATAAAAAACTCTGTGTGTGAGTGTATATATATATATTTTTATACTCTATACTGATCTCAAGAAAAAAAATATTTTTTTCACAATGAAGTTTTGACTTTGCATGGCATACTAACCAAAGATTTTATGATTACTAAAACACTGTAATTTTTTTCTTCTTAGTCGTTGAATTTCACCTAAATTTCAAACTTAAACTTCTGTATCTAAAAAAATCTGTATTGGAGCTATATAGTCTTAAATGTTTTGCTCAACTTAAAAAACATATCCTTCACAGATAAAATCCGAAAGTATTTCAATCATAGTCAAGGATATCATTGTTCTTCAAAAAGAGTCTTAACTTGTTGTAGTTTTGGGCAGTATGCACACATAAATTTTCTGATTCCACAGTCACATATCATCTCATTTCACGAAGCAGTATTTTGTGATAAAATAATAAAATTTATTTTACGTATTTTATTGCATTTATATGCATTAAAAACTGTACTCAAATGTTACTTTTTAGCTTGTACTATGAGCCATATGTTCTTACATTCATGAATAAATCTGACAATTATTAGCAGATATTGTATACTTATGATTATGTCCACAACAAAAATTCATGCAAAGTAATATTTAAAAATGTAAATTTGAAAAAAAAATTATGATAAATAACATAAATCTCGCAATTAATATTTTTTATTCTTTAACCCTATCAAATTTATTTTCTAATTAAAAAATAACATGCAAAGATTGCATTGTTCAAGCTAACTTTATTCTCTTAAGATTAAGATTATTATCATAAGTATTATTAAATTTTATTTTAGATTAGTGACTTCTTGTTAATTATTTTTAAAATGAAAATTAATTTTCAGATCTATCATCTTGCAACTATTGCGTGTCCACTTTTAAGAATTTAATCTTCTCATAGCATCTTTTGCATTCATAATTGGCTACTTTTAATTTGATGTTTGCAAATTCAAACATGTTATGGTTATTTATTTATTTTCCAAAATAATAATATATAATATTTACTGAATAAATTTATTTTTTTGTCCTTTGCAAAGTAAGTAAACATCTTTTATAAAGATTTAAACTTATAAATTATTCTTTGAAATAATTAATTCCAAAGTTCACCTCTTAAGATAATTTTCATTTTCATTTTACCATATATCATTTATCCAAAGTAATCTATCTGAAAATAATTTTTAGATAGATTTTTTACAAGTTATGAAAATATATTCATAATTAAATATGATAATACTGAAGTGTAAATGTACAAGTTATGATCTTGTCATTGTTTTTAGATAGGTTGAATATGTATTATAAATAATAAGAATACAAGTTGTGTTCAATTTATTAATTATTGACTTATATTAAATTTCTTTAATTATATTCTTATTTTATGTAACATAAATATTCAAAAGATTTTTAAATAAGAATATATTACTTGAACATAAATGCAGGCAAGATGAAATTTTCACACTCTTTAAAATTATCTTTGAGCATTACTTTATTTGGCCATTTTATCTTTGTGAAACGTGGAATTTTTTTATATGATCAAAATGAATTCAAATTTTACTGTATTTAAAAAAAGTAAAATTAATCAAATATGTATAAAAAATTTCCACCTATCAACGCTGGCCAGATTTAGATCAATTTTCTAAAAACTTATCACTTAGATCAAGCAACTTAAATACATGATTATAAATTTAAAATTAATATCATAAAGCTTTAATTTGTAATTCATTTTTTTTTCTAAGAATATTTCAGAATTTATTTTTTGTTTGAAAATATGAACTGAATAATCAAAATCTTTGCTAATTAAATTTTTCAATTTCATCAATTTAATGAAACCATAAGTATATCAATGAAATAAAAATATCACTAGAAATTCAACTTGTAATTATCATGACTACAAAACTACAAAACTTTTATAAATTTGTAAAACTAGATTCAAATTTTGTTATGGATGTTTTTGAACTTTGAATTTATGAGACATTTTGTACCTTGAAGTTGATGAAACAAATAATATATTTGATCTAACTAATATCTAATTGTTAGTAACTATCTATATTATAAAGCTTTGACAAAAGCTTGAAGTAAACTGCAGGTTGAACTATCTAGCTAGTGTTAAAATTAGATTAATGAATTGTGATCATCTAGTGAGGACCGAGTCATCTACATCACATATCGTGGGCACGGAGACATCATCTAGTGTAGTATTGTGGATGTCTACTTGAGTATTAAATCTCTATTGTTCTCAGCCACAGAGCCGATGGCCTCGAGGTTGATGTAGCTCGTGTATTTCATGTAATAGCCATATTGTGCAAATGTGGAAGTGTCACTATTACAAGTCTAGAGATGTGGGAGTGTACTGTAGGATAGCAGCCCTCAACGCATACATTGAGGTATGAGCCAACTTGGCAAATATCTTCATTATTTTAGTTTATGGTTGGAATAAGGATGGACATGGCCAGGATTTTAAGTAAACAAATGATCTACGGTAAGTTTAAGCTCCAATCTTTACTCCCTTGGCAAAAGTATCAGCAAAATTTAGATGACATCAAGCTCTACATTAGGCTGGAAGTCCATCTTGTTTTACTTTAATGCTTAGCTTTTTGTTTGAAATAACGTAAGTAAGATTAAATTATTATGAAATCTACATTTCATAATGAGCCAATCTAATTTTAACACTAGCTAGATAGTTCAACCTGAAGTCTACTCAAAGCTATTGTCATAGCTTTATAATTTTGGATGATGGTAAGTAGAGCCATGCTAAAGAATGCAAACTATAGTAAGTATAGTTGATATGAAATTACAATAATTTGATATTTATTATGATATTACTCAACAATAAATTTAATCCAACCATTGCATCACTATAACTTGTTTGAAATAATTGAATTTTAACATTTCTCAAGTTATAATTATCACAAACCTATATGCCATTTACTATCTTTAAAAATAATTTTAGATTTTACAAAAACAATACACAATAAATGTAAAAAATAAATTAAAATAACATCTAAATTCTAAAAAACACATTATTTTCAATAAAATTCTTTTATAAAAAAACACAAAATAAAAATTTTATATTTTGCTATTCAAAATTACGTTTTAAAATATTTTTATCAATTATCTCAAATTTTTTTCCAATTTTATTGCTCTAGTTTGATATCATTTATGATGATATTATACTATGCTTATTTCAATCAGTCTTAATTCAATATGTTTGTCAAATCAATACAATGTGATAATGATTTATATTTAATGTGATAATTTTTTTGTTTGTTCATACATTTTATCAATATTCATTTTATTTCATTTCAAGAATTTTCTATTAATATTGACTTGAATTTTTTCCATCATCAATTTAAAACATCTAATAATTTTTTTGAATTCAATATACATCATATATATGTATAATTTATTTTTTCCTTTGGTTGAATTTTTTTTATAGGATCAATATTCTTAAGAAAAAGCTAAATGATAGATAAATAAATAGAGATTTATCATTAATTTTTTTCAAATTTATTTTGCAATAATTAAATTTGAATATAATATTATTATAATTTTAATGATACTAAAATAATAAAATTTTAATTTTATTGATACATTGTTTTTTAAGAATCGAAATGCTTTTATAATCTCCATTAACATTAAATTCCAAGGTAAAATTTCAATTACACAATTGAAACTTGTACAAATTGAATAATAAAGCATATCAAAAAAAGTTGATGATATTATGATAAAAATAAATAAGTTAGCTTCATGGAAATATTACATAAACTAATACAATTAAAATTTTAATATCAAATAAAGATGAATTTAATTGTGAAGATTGAACAAACGACATT